AGCTGCTTGAGAGAGGGGAGGAGGGGGAGGAAGGAGGGAGGGGCTGTCCTGGGAATGAATAGCTGGAAAAAGGCTGAAGGGGGACAGTGGGGGTGCGCGAAGGGGGAGGGGGCAGAGAAGTCGTCAATGCCCCTTTGAAAGGAACCAGAGGGAGCTCCGAGGGGTGCAGGGAACCAGCCCATCCTGGGGAAGAAAAGAGCTGGGCGGTGGGGGAAGAGGGGTGACCCAGGAAGAGGGGCTGAATGAGGCCGCCTTTCTGCAGGCAGGGGAGGGAGGGGGCTGCCTTCTTCACGGCAGCCCCACCAAGACGAGGGTGTGGGAAAGGCCCCATGCTCACAAAAGGCCCTGCCACCAAGAAGGTCCACCCTGCATGGTGGCTGGCTGAGAAGGCGGGGCCCTCCACTCGCCCCTCTGGCTGGGGCTGGCCGGGGGCCAGGACCAGGAGGGGCCTGGGAAGGGCTTCGGCTCCTGTGGGAGTCTCCCCCGTGAGCTGGTTGCAGAAGGGCCCCTCTGGAGAACCCAGGCAGATTTGGGGCGCCCTTGTCCCAATTCCATAAGCCCCTCCTCCAAAGGCCTTTATCTCATGTAAAAACAGCCAAGTATTTTTTCAACTGGGTTCTGCTCAATTCCTTGTCTGTGGGTGATGCAGATCTGAAAAGTACGTTGAAAGGCCCCCCCCTCCGCAGCAACCAGATCCCCCCCCCACATCACTTCAGATATGAAGACATTCAAAGCTGACCCACACACACACCGCCCCGCCCTTTTGGAAGAGGGATTTTTCTCTCCATGCGTCAATCACGAGGGAAAGGAAGCTCTTGCCTTCCCACCCCTCAAGACTGAGAGGTGCCCTCCTCGTCCGTCTGTTTTGGAGTCAGTCGCACAAACAAAAACCGGGAGACAATTGCAGGAAACACTTGAGAAGTTCAAAATTCTTTCACGGCTTTCGGTCTCAGCAACAAGAGCCTACGCTGCAAGGCAACTCGGGGACAATGAGATTCAGAAAAATCACATGAAATTAGAACAACAGGCTGGCACGGGCCTGGAGCAGAAGCGAAGCAGCCCAAGCCGTTTTTAAGAGGAAAACCAAGACGTTGATGCTTGGGAGTTTGGTTGAAGGCCAACTGAGCCCAGGAGCCTCCCTGGCAGCTGCGCCAAGCAGGGCAGGGAAGCACCACCTTCCCTTCTTTCTGCCCCATGGCATCTTCTCTCTCCTGAGCCCCCGGCAGCCAGCCTTGCTTGGGGTGGCAGAGTTGCAGTCCAAAGTGCCAGGAGCTGCTGGTGAAAGGTGTTCTCAAGCCAACATTTCCCACACCAGCAAGCAACCTGCCCAGGCGCCAGCCGTGGGAAGGGGCTCAAGGTTGCTGTACCGAGGGGTGAGCCGCCCCCAGATTGCCCGGCCCTAGTCTAGGTGGCCCAGGCCCTTGGCAGCACAGGCTAAACCCTACGGACTTAAGGGCTGGGCTGCTTCAGAGCCCAGAAGAGTGACCCTTCCCGGTTTCTGCCTGGTCTGGTTCTCCTGTGGAATTAAGGAGGCAGGCACCCCATCCCTGTCAGGCCGCCCTAGGAGCCAGAGTACTGCCAACGGGCATCTGCTGCCCAGCCAGCCAAGGTGTGGGGCCCAATCAGACCTCCAGGGTGGACAGTGGCTCTGCTCCATCTCCCCCCAAGGGCAGGGCATCATGAAAGCCCCCGTGGGGGGGAGAAACCTCTGCCTTCCAGCCAGGGCCACGGAACTACCAGCTGTTTAGCTAGGGCCCCCGTTGCCAGATGGCACAACTGCCTGGGGTTCAACCTTTAGAAGCAGGCTGAGGCAGCCAACCCCTTTCACTGCCCTGGTTCAGCCCCATAGCTTGTCAGGCTGTGCGAATCCAGCCCAAAGTTTTCGGTGGGCTTAGCTCCTTGTGCGAATCCAGCCTGGGCCAATCAGTCCCATGAATCAAAGTCCACCCCACCATGTGAAACCAGCTTCCTGCCACAACTTCAGGGGGAAAATGCCATCCCATATAAGGATGCCAGCCTCAAGAGCCCTGCACAACCTGGTGCCCTCCCGTAGATGCTGGTTGGGGACCCTGTGGCCCTCCAAATATTGCCGGGGACCTTTGGGCCCACTGAAGATCTCTTCTGTCAAAAGAGGTGAGGAGCTACAGCCCGAAGCCATACGTATGCTACCCTTTATCCTACTCTGAAGCTGAACTGCTACTGGCAATGGAGGATCTCCTTCAGAGTTCCCTTCCATCAGTCCCAGGCCTGCCAAAGTTGCTGCAGTTTGATCTCATTCCCTGGCAGCCTTCCAGGCCGTCCATTCCACTTGGTGAGGAATGATGGGAGCTGTAGTCCAAGACAAGGGCACAACTCTCTCTCGCTCTCTCTTTCACACCCGCCCCCTTGTCCATGGGCCTTGCCCCCTTCTTGCTCCCTGCCCATCCGCAGCTTCCTTGAAATCTCAGCCTCTGGTCGGAAAAGAAAAACAAAGCACACACAAACATAGGAACATTTTTTTATATAAAAAGATCAGTGGAAAAATTATTTATAAATTTTTCACCCTGGGACTACACAATGCTATGATATACACAGAAACACAGCCCCCCCCCACCCCGTACAGCCTTGCGGTTCTTTCATCCAGTTAAAAAGTGATCATACAGTGACCCACATAAAGCTTCAACATAAGCCTAAAATTCTCCACAAATTAATTAACATAATTAAGAAAGGTATTTGCCACCTAGAAAGGGGAGGGGGGAGAAAACAAGACCATTGTCTAGCAAAAGGCTGCTCACTGAAATGATCTGTGGGTCAGCTTCTTCCAATCTCTGTTTTTTCACAAATGTTAATGCATTTTCTCAAGAAAAATATTTCGTCTTGAAGATGGTTCAGCACAAAATTGGTGCACCTCAAACGCCACCACCCCTCTTTTAAAGAAAGGCAAAGAGACATTTCCCATTTTGGCACAAAGGATCCAGCAGCAGAAGTAGCCAAATAACATCTTCCCTTTTATGTCTCAGTGCGGGGAGGGGGGAGGTTTGTGGGGGGGACATAACACCTGGCTACATTCAATAACTTTACAGGGTTGCATAGAAAGTATCACATTTACTCCCTCCTGCTGTGTCAGCCCAAGAGCGCAAGTCCCACCCAGCTGGGCAGGTCTTACTTTAGAGCAAGGATGCTTAGCAGATCCCTGTGGGAAGGAAGCTCATTGGCTAGCTAAGAGAAAGAACCTCAAAGGTAGATATTCCCAACTCAGTTCCCATGGGGGGGGGGGAGAAACCACCTATTTGGGGGTGGGGATTCTCCCACTAGTTCTTTGAAAGAAGAAGACTGGGGATGGCAGAAACCACGCAACAGAACAAGCCTCATGGATATTTTATTTCACACACACACAGGGAAAAAAGAAAGGTTTCACAGTCTCCAAAGGTATACTTTTCATATATAAAAATATAAATATGTGTTAACATCTTTACATGAGACTTCTTTAGAAAAACGGGCTTTTGACCAAGATCTTTTTCTAAAACTGAAATCTGATCTTGGATTTCTGAACACAAGCTACTTTTTCTTATTTAATAATTATGCCATAAATGTTATGACATGTTATTGTGGCAAATCTTGTTTTAAGACAAAAAGAAATCATGTGCAACTCTAAAACACCCCCCTCAAAGTTGAAAAAAGGAACTGGTTCTTCCCCCACCAAGAACAAACTAAACACCACTGTCAGGAGGGGCCCCCGCATCCCCCCCAGCAGTTCCCACCAGGGCTGGCAAAGCCCCAACTGTCATTCCTTGCAAATCAACCAGGAAGAGTAAGCAAGAAGGGGGCTACAGAAAACAGGCTCCCTTTTGGGGGGAGGAACCAGAGATAGCAAAATAAAACTCAGTGCAATGGGGTGGGTGGGGGAATTATTGCAGGAATTAGGGAAGAAATATACGTAATAGCAACCCCTCCAAAAAACGGCATTTTCTGAACTACCAAAATAAACATCCCTTCAAAGAAAAACCGCTCAAGTCACAAATGATTCATGTCCACACACATCCTTGCACACGTACAAGATAAATACTTAAACGCGCAGCCCAAACACAGTGAAAAACTATATTTTAAAAGGTTTAATGGCTATTTGAGGGGTGGGGAGAAGAGGCGCAGGTGATATGGCAGTGAAAGGGAAATTTATCTCTGGCTCTCGCTCTCTCTCTAGTGCACACGAAAAGGGGGCAGAAGAGGCGGGTGACTTCCTCGACATTCATGGGGGCTGCCTGGGCGCACCACACCAGGCAGAGACTCAAGAGCAGCATCGAAGGCACACGGGCAGTCAGTTTCGGGGCACGGCGCCCCTCTCCTTTCCGAAGCGACCCCCGCGTGGAAATCGCCTCCTTCCAAAGGTTCGGTTTTCAGTAGTTTGCTTTCCCTCCATCAGCAGCAGGGGGCGCCCTCGATCTTCCGGAGACGCTTCCTAAGGCGCCCCCTTCTCCGTGGAAAGAGGCCGGGCGAAATTCACCCTTTTTGAAAGGGAAAAGAAAAGGAAAAAAAAAAAGAAGAAAGGGGGGAAAAGGCTCCCCCGCCCTCCGGTGGAGCTGATCAAAAGACGGCCAGAAGGGCCAGAGCGAGCGGGGAGGGGCGATTTCGGTCTGGACACCAGACAAAAGCGACGAGCGTCTTGCTCCGGAGCAAGAGCCGGAGGTCGGCCCTCCGGCACGGAAAGAGCCCCGCGGCTTGGCTGGGAGGGGAGCGGCCGCGGCAGCTGCTGGCGGCGGGGAAGCAGGTCCGGGGCGCGGTGGGCAGCAGCTGGTCGGCCCCAAGGAAGGAGCGAGCGAGCGGGGGAGCCAACACTGGAAGAACCGAGGTAGATGAGAGGCAGAGCAGCGGCGGCGGCGGGACGGAGCGCGGCGGCTCCCGAAGGGCGGGGAGGGCCGGGCCGGCGCCCGCGTCTCCTCTGCCCAAGTGGCGGCGCTGGCCGGCCAACGGCGCGCATCTCTCCCGGGAAGCGGCGCAGGGCTCGGTCCTCCAGGCGGGCTCGCTTGACGGAGGCGCCGCCGCTCTCGCCTGCGGGCCGGAGCGGGAGGCTTTCGGGGCGCCGCCGCGACGGAGCTGCCGGAGCGCGCTCAGCCGCGGCCGCCGCCCCCCGCGCCGCCTCCCCCGCCGGCGGCCGAGTACTTGGCCTTGGTGATCAGGTAGAGGACGATGTCCTGGTGGCCCCCGAAGGCGGCGATGTGCAGGGCGCTCCAGCCGTCGCGGTTGGCCAGCCGGATGTCCGCGCCGAACTTGACCAGCAGCTTGACCAGCTCCAGGTTGCCGTCGATCACCGACTGGTGCAGCGCCGTCTGGCCCTCGGGGCCGAAGGAGTTCACGTTAAACTCGCAGCTGCTCATGTTCTGCAGCAGCGAGTGCAGCTCGGCCGTGTTGCCCTTGCGCACCGCCTCCTGGAAGACGCGCTGGCTGGGCGCCGCGCGGGGGGCCGACAACTCCGCCTGGCTCATGGCTGCGCGCCCGGCTGGCGACGGGGCAGGCGCCGCGCCCGGCCCCGCATGAGCGAGGAGCGCGGGCCCCGGAGAGGCCGGCCGGCCTGCTTCGCCGCCGCGCAACGCCGGGCTCCTCGGTCCGCACCGCGCCCGGGATCGCCGCTTGGCTCGAGGGATCGCTGGCTGGCGGGCGGGCGGGCGGGCTGCTACGAGCGGCGGGCGCCGCGGGTCGGCCGGGGACTGAGCGGGCGGGGATCGGGGGCGCTTTTTACGCGGCCCCGGGACATTTGCATAACAATGGCCGAGGCCCGGCCCTCCCCACCCTATCGGGAGCGGATTGGTCGCCGCGTGGCGAGGGAGGGCCGGCAGAGCCCCGCCTTCCCTGCACACGGCCCGATGAGAGAGTGTGGGGGGGGGGGCTTCCCGGGGTCGGCCGAGCGCAGCCCTCGCTTGCATTGCGGCAGCCGGGAGAGCGTTGCAGAGGTTGCCCTGCCCGTCTTTGCCTGCGAGGGCTCCTCTTCCAGCCCGGGTCGAGAGGAAAAGGGGGTCGGTTGCTGCTCCTCGCTTGGTCTTCCGCGGGGCAGCGAAGGACCGGGCAGATGCAGCCGAGGGGCTCTGCCGGCCGCACCGGCGGGAGGAGACAGAAAGAGGCGCTGGCCCTCTGGCTCAGGAGGCGCAGAACGGAGCGGGTGTCTTTCTTCGAGAGCTCCCCAGCCCCGATTTCCCAATTCTTCCCCCTTCTCAGGAAAAGACCCAAGCCCCCACATCAGCCCCACCTCCTGAGTAACGGACGCTTGCTGACATGGCACCCCTTCCCCACCCCTTCAAAACACTTTTAAAACAAGCTTGTGAGGCAGAAATTCAACAGAGGTGGCTACCATCCCTTTACTTTCTGCTCAGAAATGCTTGCCTGGCTGGATTTTTGCTGCTTCTGTTAACTTTGAAATGCAGAGTCTTTGGGGAAAAGAAATCTTGTCAAGTACGAGGAGCTGAAGCAGCTGCCCCCTTGGCCATCTGTAGCTATTCAGACCACGCAGGTCTCCCAGATGCCCCTCCTGCCTTGGTCTCTCTGGAGGGCTCCCCGTTGGGCATCCACCCGCAGAACTACAACAAAATAAACTACGGCACAATTCCACGGCTCAAGACCCGGTAACTCACCTGTTTTCTCTGCCCCAAAGAAACAATCGAGTGACTGTCAGGTTTGCCTCCTGCCTGCCTGTCTGCCTGCCTGCAGCTGCTGTCCTCAGGTCCCAGCAGAAGGATCCAGGGCATCCTGGAAGACCAAGCAGGCCCAGTAAGGGTGTGGCTTAAATTCTAGGGAACAAACTTGGGGGCTTAGGCAGAGGTGGCAGCACAACCTCGGCTACCTCCCTGGTTCAGACAACTGCTAGAGATGCCAGCAAACCCAATGGAAAGATTTTCAAGAAGGTTCCTCCTCCCTTGCCACCCGCCTTCCCCATGCAGGCTTCCCAAGTTGTTGCTTTATGAAACAAAATGTGGGGTTTTAGTGAAAGCACTTTTCTTGTGGTTTCCAGGGCAATTTTTTCCATTGGCAATTTTTGCTGAGAAATAGCAAGAAAAGGCTTTTTGATGGGCGCAAAAAGTCAGGGCCCGGGCCTCTACCTGCCGTTCTCCTGCTCCTATCCCCCTGGTGGAGCCCCTGGGAGAGGTCGGGGGAGCAGAGGTGGGGTGCAGGAGTGCCATTGGTTCCAGGTTGTCCGTGGGTCCCGGCCTGCTTCAGAAAAAGGGCCTCTTTTCTGTGAGTGCCGCCATAGGGCCTGCTCCCCAAAGGGAGGACTCAGTTTACATGGGGCAGGAGGCAGGGGGCCCTTATCAGGAAGCAGATCTATTGAAAAGATTGCTGGGCAAACAAAAGACAGAAGCCGCAGCCAAGCCCACAAAGGAACTGCTGACTCAATCAATTTCAGGGGGAAAAGAGGAAGAAAACTGAAAGTGGAAGGGGGGGGAGACAGGGGGCAACCGGGGCGTGAGAAAAAAAAAAACCAGGCACTGGCCAGCCGAGGGGAGGGGGGGCTGTTTCCCATCCCAAGGAGCGCTTAGAACAAGATGAAAGAAGTCCAGTGCAAGGCCAAGAGTTCTGTGTGGGCTGAAAGCTTGCCTGGCAGGATCACCCCTCCCTCCAAGCAAGAGCCGCTTTTCTCTCTGGTTTCCTGCCTGAGGGGTGAAGGACCTGCCGCCATGCAGTCAAAGAAGCTTTGGGGGTGACTTTCTCAGGCGTAGGTTGGGTGGTGGGGGAGCGAGGGAGGGGCTGCTGGAGCCACCTTATACTTCCCATGAATATAGCTCATGCGTGGCAGGAGTGCAGTACCGTCCCCCGTCCCCCCCCAGTCCTAAGCTTCGGGGCAGCAAAGCCCCCCAATAATTCCGGCTCCTCTGGCACAGGGAGGGGGGGGGCTGGGCCAGGGTGGAGAGAAAAACGGAGGCCCTGAACACTCAGGTTGTCTTCACACAACAGCTTCAGCCGCCTGGAGGCAGCCCCCGGGGCCGGCCGATTTGGCCTTTATGGGAAACGCGGCTCCTTCTTCGTCTTCAGCGGGTGGAAACGTGGCCAGCCCCGCGGGGCTTCCTCCTCACACGTACCTGGGCGCGCAGAGTCGGGCCTGCCGCTTTGTGCCCCGAGGGGGAGGGAGCCTCTCCTGCCCCGGAGCTGCGGCCTTCGGAGCGCGCCCGAGGGGGCCGTGAGGCGGGCTCGGGGCCGGGGCGACCCCCCTCCCCTCCGCAGCGGCGACGCGGTGCGAGCCGGGCGGCCCCCCTTCGAGGCGGGGCGGGGCCTGCCGGCGGGGGCGGGGCCGGCGCGGCCTCATTACCGTGAACCCGGGAGCGTGGGAAAGTCTTGGGCCTTTCTTCCCAGCCGCGGGGAAGGCGGGGCCGGAGGGCCGGGGCGGGGCGGGCGCGCGCGCGGGTCTCCGGGAGGGGAGCTGGAGCTGTCGATTACAGCTGGCTGCAGAGAAACGCCGCTATCTCTGCCAAGATCTCGGCGGAGAAATGCAGCTTCTCTGCATTTCTCTGCCCGCAGAGAGCGAGCCTCGTGCAGAGGCGGCGGCGGCGGCGGCGGCGACCGAGTGTGGCAGGGGAAGGGCCCCCGTCCGTCCGCAGGCTGGCCCCGAAGGAAGCGGTGGCAGCAGGCTTTTGCGCTTGAATCCTTGGGCAGCCCTCCGAAGTGCGCATCTGAGGCGGCGCCTCCTGCCAACTGATTTCTCCTGGGCCAAGGGGGGCCTCGCAAGGCCCTCCGTCCTGATCAGAAGCTGCTCGCGATGGATAAATGCCGTTTCTGCCGGCCTTCGATGTTGCGCTGCCTTTATCCCTTTCTCCAAAAGCCGCCCAAGGTCAACCACCCACCTGCCCGGAGCCTCCAAGGCCTCCTTTCGTGCCCGAGGAAAGCCGGGGCTTCTGGCAGGCCCCTGGCCCAATTCCTGGGAACCTGGGCCTAGCTGGGTCCTGCCGTGAGGAAAACCCAGGCCTCTCCCCCTGCGAGATCCCACCTGCAGCGGTGCTGCTCCAAACCTTGGAGGGTCATTTTATTACGTGAGGGGACGGGATGCCCGTCGGCCTTGTGGGAGAAGAGAGGGACCCTCTGGGAACCCGGAGCTGCTTTGGGGGGCTGCCCTGGTGGACCAAGAGGCCTGGTCATCTTCCTCCTGGGGATGCCAAAGGCCGGAAGGGTCGACGTCCTCTGGAGTCGACCGATGCTCAGAAACCGCTTCCTGCCCTTTGGCTGCCTGCCTTGGGGACAGGATGAGGGAGGGAAATGAAACTTCCTTCTGGAATTACGGAGTTCCCGTGCCAGGAGAGCAAGCCAGGCCCCCAGCGCAACCTCCCCACCAGGAGACTGATGGGTCTTTGGCCTCTGCCTCCTGCAACGGTGGCTGCTGCTCTTGAGGTCACCTGAGCTCCTTAGGAACATTTGAGTGTTCGTCCTTGACAGAAGTGTCACTTTAAACATTCGATGCTTAAAAGTAGCAATGGCCCCTTCCTAAATGTGGTGCTTGGTGAGCAAAATGTGGTTGGAAAGAGTAACACAGAGAAGCAGAACTCTCATCACCTCGTCTTCTTTTAAGTAGCACCGTTATTTATTTGTCCTACAAACTGCAGCTGAACATCTGAATGTGTAAAAAGACATTTTATTTGCACAAATCTTCTATCACCCTCAGTAACGTTTACACCCGGACCCAGAGCAGTTAGATCCGTTTGCCTAGCCCTGCAGAGGTCTTTGCCAGTGGCATCTCATTCCGTGAAGAGAGGGGGCCCAGGATCTTTGGGGGCAGAGGGGGACAGAACCAAGAAAGCCCCTGGAGGAGAGAGCAGTGCTGTCCTCCAGGCCGAAGGTCCAGATTCCTCAAAGCAGCCTAAAGGTCTCCCTGTCGAACCCCCGGCAGGAACTCAGAGGATAAACGGGCGAGCAAAGAATGGGCAACAGGAAGGGGGGGGGCTGAACTATAAAACTAGAAAAGTAAATTAAAAAACTAGGAAAATGCTTCCAAAAGCTTTCTTCAAAATGGTGGAAGAACTAGGCATTCAAGATGTATGGCGAGATGCATCCTAAGGAAAATCAATATTCATTTTATTCAAACAGACATATGTCATGGTTAAGAGTAGATATGATATGGATGTCATCAGACCTAAAATCTAATGTGCAAGAAATAAATATAGAAATAAGCAACTGGGCAGATCACAATCCGATAAAAGTTATATGGAAGGAACAAAAAAGGAAATAAAGATGGATGTCGAATCAATCAATATTAAATGAAAAGATCCAATTTATGGAAAGAGAATTGGATTTTTTCTTTAAAGAGAATAGAAAAGAAGAGATTTCATTACAAAATGTATGGGACACAGCTAAAGGCATATATTAGAGGATTAACTATAATGTATATGGGAAAGAAAAATAAAAAGGAGACAAAATCAAAAGAAATTAGAAGAAGAATATAAGAGACTAGAGATAGAACTACAAAAAAAAAACCCACATAAAAAGAATTTTAAAAAATCAAATGGAATTAATAAAACATAGTATGAACTTAATAGATAAAGAACTAGCACAAAAAATGAAAAGTGCCAAACAAAACTTCTTTGAAAATGCAAATAAACCAGGAAGATGGTTGGCACATAAATTGAAAAAGGAGAAAGAAAAGAAACTGATACACCAATTAATGGACGATGAAGGAACTCTTCACCACCAAAATGATGATAAAAAGAAAAGTGATTCAAAACTACTATGAAAAACTATATGATCAAGAGACAATTTCAAAAGATAAAACAATATTTAGAAAAAGGTGAATTACCTAAAGTACCTGAAATAGTGAAAGCTATGTTAGATGAATGCATAAGGATGATGGAATTAACAGAAGCAATTAAGAGACAAAAGAATGGCAAAACACCTGTCAGGATAGTATACCAGCAGAACTCTACAAAGACTTATAAGACACTTTTAAGTATACCAATGTTGGAAGTATTTAATGAACTATTGCTAGAAGTGAAAGTACCAAATTCATGGATGCAAGCATATATTACCCTCATACCGAAGAGATTCTGATTTACAACAGATAAAAATCTATAGACCGATATCCTTATTGAATGCTGATTATAAAATATATGCCTCAATAATTGTAGAAAGACTAAAAAGATTCTTAAACCAATTTATACATTCAGATCAAAATGGATTTTTACCTAAGAGACAAATTAAAGACAATATGAGAATAATTTTAAATACAGTGGAGTATTATGAAGTGCACTCAGAGAAGCAAATGGCGTTGATTTTCCTAGATGCACAAAAAGCTTATGACAATGTGAACTGGCAATTTATGCTAGCACAATTAGAAGGCATGGACATTGGAGAGATATTTATTAGTATGATGAAGGCGATATATTATAAGCAAACTGCAAAGGTGATGGTAAATGGAGATAACAGAATTAGACAAGATATTAACAGGGACAGAAGGAAGATTGATAAAGAAAATGTATAGCTATTTATTGGGCATCAAATTGGAAGATGAACAAGTGAAGGAGACAATGATAGCACGGGCAACTTTGGTTACACAATAGAATTAGATAAATGGCAAAAATTGTGGGACAGGAACTATAAATTAACATCAACTGCATATAAAGAACATTTGTATAAAATGTTTCATAGATGATATTTTGCGCCGGCGAGGTTGGCAAAGGTGTTTGAAGATAAGTCAGCTAAATGTTGGAAATACCACTAGATACCTGGGTCTTATTATCATGTGGTGGACATGCGTAGAAGCAAAAAAATACTGGACAAAAATATATACGTGGCTGGAAAAGATGATAAAACAACACACAGATTTAAAACCAGAAATATTTTTGTTGAGGATTTTACCTGAAACCTATATTAAAAGGAATGCATATCTAATTATTCATGTATTAACTGAACCTAGAATTGTATTTGCACAAAACTGGAAAGGTGAAGAGATCCCTACTGATGAGAAGGTGATTAGGAAAATATTAGAATGTGCAGAAATGAATAGATTAACACTTGCAATTAAGGAGAAAGAACAAACTGAATATTATATGACATGGGAACTATTTTATCGATGGTTAGAGAATAAAAATGGAAGTTAAAAATAGGAAACAAAAGATCAGCGAAATATAGAAAATATGTTAAGAGAGAGATGTAAACACTATGATTATTATGCTTAATATTATTATTATATTCCCATTAGAAGATATGTCAAGAGAGAGAAGTGAATAGGTTTATAATGTTCAATGTTAGTATTGTAAAATTAGAGAAGTAATATCAATGTAGGGACGTGGTGGCTCAGTGGCTAAGACGCTGAGTTTGTCGATCGAAAGGTCGGCAGTTCAGCGGTTTGAATCCCTAGTGCCGTGTAATGGGGTGAGCTCCCATGACTTGTGCCAGCTTCTGCCAACCTAGCAGTTCGAAAGCAGGTAAAAAATGCAAGTAGAAAAATAGGGACCACCTTTGGTGGGAAGGGAACAACATTCCGTGGGCGTTTGGCGTTGAGTCATGCTGGCCACGTGACCACGGAGACATCTTCGGACAGCGCTGGCTCTTCGGCTTTGAAACGGCGATGAGCACCACCCCCTAGAGTCAGGAATGACTAGCACATATGTGCAAGGGGAACCTTTACCTTTACCTTAATATCAATGTAATGAATACCATTGTAAATTTTGATTATTATTGCATAAAGATGCATGTACCCAGACGATACATTGTTTAATGGAAGATGGAACTATTATACTAAAAAAAAAAAAAACAAAAAAAAAAAAAGGAAGGGTGTGTGTACTGGGATTATGAGAGACATTTCTTGCCTGGGCCTCTTATCTCCAGAGAAACGGCAGGATCTCTTCTGTGCTGGGGAGGGAGGGGGGGTGGAGAGAGAGAGAGAGAGAGAGAGAGAGAGAGAGAGACGGGCATACAGTTCTACAGCAAAGGCTCCAAGTTGCACTGTGTGGAGGGGTGTGTGTGTGTGTGTGTGTGTGTGTGTGTGTGTGGAATCCCCCAACCCGCAAGAGAACATTTGGTCCTGGAGTCTGGGGTGCAAATGATGCTAACAATCCATCTCACACTAGAGGCAACAGGCAATGGGAGTGCTGGTCCTACTCTGTCTGCAGTGGTCTGATGGCCTGAGCAAAGAAGCCGAAAATCCTTTCAAAGATCCCTCTAAAAAGGGGGTGGCCTGCCAACATGCCCTCCTGCCGTGAGGGAAGCTCCTGGGGGGGCCACTCCCATTCCTTCGCAGAGCCCAAGGACAAGCCCCACTTCAGCTCTCTTCCGGCAGCTCCAGCACCTCCCTAAACTGGGAGACCAGGCGGCCCAGGTGGGAGCCTTCCCAGAAGACCTGGCCGCACTGGCTGCAGCAGTAGAAGCAGGTCAGGTCCTCCTGGCACAGCACCCCGGGCGGGACGGCCTCGACTCTCAGGCGGACACCAGTGGGCAGCAGGGCGGGTTCGTCCCCGGGGCCTGCTGCTTCCAGGCCCTGCCAGGGTGGGCTGCGGGCAGGTTGGCGAAGGCCGAGGCTGCAACTTTGGGGCTCCAGGGTGGCGGTGGGGCCGGGACCTCCCAAACGGGCCTCTGCAAAACAAAGAGCAGCTCTTAGTCTTCCCTGCTCTTGGCCACTGGCCGTCTGCTGCTTCCCCTTCCTGGCCTCCTCAGGGGAAGACCCCCTTGTGCTGAGCTAGAGAGAAGGGTGTCCGAGGGCGAGTCCCTACATCCAGGCAGCCCTGCAGGGTGCAGGAGGAGGGAAGCCCAGGAGGGGACACGAAGCTCTGTGGGCAAAGATCTGGCCCCCTCCCACTCTCAACATGCAGACTTTCAAGGGTGCAAAACATGGAGCTGTACTGGGAAGCCCTCAAGAGGCGGCAGGCGAGGCTGTGGAGAGGTTCTGAACCTGCAGCATAAATGGGAGGATTTCTGCTGATGCCTTTTTATTGTGAAATCCACCCGGTGCAGTGTGGGAGAGAACTCTGCTGGCCTCCCCACTCAAAGGGGGCTCCTCCACCGCCCACCCCGTTCTGCTGCTCCAACTCCCTCCCTTCCCAAAGAAAACCCCCTTTGTCTCTGGTGAGACGGCAAGGAGGTGACCTTTTGGTGAGGGGGCCCTTGCTGGCATTCTCTGCACTGGCGGGGGGGGGGGGGGGGGGGGGGGGGGGGGGTGGGGAGGGGGGGGAGGAGAGGAGCTCCGTGGGGGGGCGGGGGGGGGCGGGGGGGGCCATGGGATGGAGGGGGCTTTACAAGTTCCTCATTGACAAACGGCCACTTTGAAGTGCTTTTGTGTTGGTGACCCTTTGAAGTGTCCCTGGCAAGAAAGGCCAAAGGGCCCCCTCTTCCCTTCCTGTGTAAAGTCACAACACCAACGCCCCCCCCCTCCAGATAGGAGCAATTTGGCCCCCTTCAAAGGTCACAGGTGTAAAAAAAAAAAAACCTTTCGGGATCTCAGAAATGGTCAAAGTTTGTCCCTCAAAAGTGACCGTGGGGAATTCGGTCCCATACACCAGAGCTGCCTCGGCTTCTGTCAACAAGCAGTCAGGGTGCTAGTCCTCGGGAGGTCCCAGCCAGCCACCTCTCCAGCTTCCCCAAGGAGAGCCAGCCCTTCTCAGGATGCTGAAGGCGTGCGTGCTAACTCAGGGCTGCTGCCTGGAGAGAGGAAGGGAGAGGTTGGCGCCATAAAACTTGTCCAGGTCTTAAAAACACACCCTGGGTGCGTCCTTGAAGTCCAAAGGTCCAGTGAGGGGTGAGAAGCCCTCAGGAGTCTCAGAGAGAAAAAGCGCCGGGCGAGTCTCCCTCAGGTCCCTGGGCATCCTCCATGGGGCCAAGAAGCCCCTGTTCTCTGGCTGAAGGGTCTGGCCAACTGCCGCTGCCAAGGATGCCAGGACAACCCTTATGAGAGCCCCCTCCCCTCCCCGCCCACTGCCCTGTTGTGTTGCCAGAAGGGCAACCGAGGGAAGATGCCTGCAGGCATGTGGAAGAGGCAGAGTGGTGACCCTCCTGCTTTGGGTCTGTCAAGTCCAGATGCCCAGAAAGACCCTCCATTCCCTGCTCCCCTCTCTCCGTCCGCTAGTTCTCCTTCTTGCCCTTCTTTTTTCGGCACTGTCTGCGCTCGCTAGCAGGAGAGAGAGGCCAGGCTTGAAGACTGATGCAATGTGCCCAGGACCACAAGGTTGGCACTGCAGCCATGGGCAGATCTGTTGGGGCTCGCGAGAGGATCCTGGCCAAAGCAGAGAGGGGGAGGAGGTGGCGCTGAGCCTCGGAAAGGAGAGAAAGGGGCGGGAAGGGATCCCACAGCCTGGGAAAACTCTGCACGGAGCCCCAGGTGAAAAATTCAAATGAGTAATTATACCACAATTAATTGTCCTCTCGTAACATGCAAGCACAGTTCAAATGAAAATAAAACGGCGGGCATGGGGAAAGGCAGGCCTGGGGTGGGTCCCAGGAAGAGCAGCAGCTCAGCTGAGCTGTGCTCGGCCACCAGTCCTCTTCCAGGGCAAGCGGCCCCTTTTCCCTCCCTCTATCGCTTCTCTGGGAGAAGGGGCCCTTGTGAGAGAAGCCGGCAGCTCCCCCTTTTGAGCCACAGCCAAAAGGGGCCGTCTTGGCCACTTCTCACCAGGCAATGGGGTCCACCACCACCACCCCTGCAGTGGTATAGCCAGTCCCTGAGCCAGCTTGGCTGACCCGCCCGGGGGAGGACTGGGCCAGGCCCATCCAAGGCAAGAAATGTGGCAAGGGTCTCGTTGGCCCCCAGTTGGTACCAGAGGGGTGGGCACGTAGGCCTGGCATGGGTGGGTGGGGGGGAGAAGTGGGCAGCCATTGCTTCTGCTCGTCTGCTCTGACCCTCTTCCTGAAAGCTGCCGGGGGGGGGGGGGGGGGCAGGAGGGAGCTTTCTATTCTTTGTGGGAACGAGGAGAGACCAGTGAGGGTTGTTCTCTTGTTCTCAAGCCTTTCCTGGGAGAAACCTGTTCAGCCAGCTGGGTCGGTCACAAGAATGGCAGCCGGGGCAGGGAAGGTCTCAGCAAACGGGCTGGCTCTCTCCTGCGGGACGTCTCGGGTTCTTGGGGGGGGGGGGGGGGGGTGGAAGGACCCTATCCTGCCTGCCCCAAAAGCTGCTGCTGCTGCTGCTCCTGCGTCCCACCGGGGATCTAAGGATGGCAGCCCAGCAGAGCAGCCGCCCCGAGAAACCCCTGGCCTGCACCATCCAGCCAACCCTCCCCTTTGTGACAGCCAGGAAGGGGAGGTCCTGTCTGCCTGCCCCCTACTGGGCTTCCTGAAGGGAACCGCCAGCCCTGACCTCCCCGACCCATTTCCCACAAGGCGGCCCAAAGCCTGGCTTCCTCTCACGCTGCCTGTGTGCTGCACCAGGCTCCGAGGCTATCCCGGCCGCCAGGTCGGCTCTAACGGGGTCAGGGGAGAGCCCCTGTGTGTACCTGCATCCTCCCCCGTCCAGCAGCCGCTCCGCTTCCTCAGCAGGGCCATCCTCTCCTTCGAGACCTTCACGTACCGGCTGCAGTTGCAGGCCTGTTCGGAGGCAGAGGGAAGGAGCTTTCATGAGAACCACCTGGGCTCCGGGCCCTTAGGAACAGATGGAGACCCAGGGAAAGCTGTGCTTGCAGTAAAGGAGAACAGAATCAATCCCAGAGTAACCAAAGTCCAGCCGTCTCGTCTCGCTTTTCTGGAGTGGGGTGCCCTGAAAGGGGGGGGGGGCTTCCTCTTCTAAAGCCACCTCAAGCCCCAGTTTAAGGGCAGCCCTGATGGAGCCCTCCCCTCTCCAGCTTAGGGCCGCAGCGTTACGAGGGTCTCTCCTTCTTCCTGCATTCCACATCCCCACATTTGCGGCTCCCTAAAGCCCCTCCTGCCCTTTGGGGACCTCTCCCCTGGGCTTCCCGTTAGCCATTCCTGGGATGCGACTGTCTGGAGGCCCGGCAGAACCTAGAACGGCTTTCTGGGGAATGGGTGCTGGGATGCCCCCCAGGCACGAAAGGCAATGTGTGTTGTTGTCCCTGGGGCCCTTGGGAACGAAGTGGCCGGAGGGCTGGCTGGTGCAAAGGGGGGCTCAGTCCAGGCTGGGCCACCCACTTCAAAGACCACCGAAAGAGCTCTCCATGATGGGGGTGAGCTTTGGTTTTTCCCACCACAATCAGTTGAGCGGCCACGGACACCGCCTGGGAAAGGGGCCCGTCCGGCCCTTTGGGGGAGCCAGGCAGAGATCCGAGAGGAAGACTGGCGTGGTGCCCGCAGCCACTCCCCTGCCTGAGGGCCCTGGAGAGCCGGTGGGGGTGCAGCTCCCGTCCCAGAGAGCTGTCCTGGGGCATCAGGTCTGAATCTCCCGGGAACTTCCCCGGTTTACTCACCTGCACGGCAATTCTTGTTGCCAAACACTCTTTTCTGGGAAGGGCAGGGCAGCCCTGAGAATGACTCTCTCTGCTGAACCCGTCCCACTTGGACGGCAGCAGGGAACCTGCGCCCAGCCCCAGCCCTGGGAACGCTTCCCAGCGCAGGTCCCAGGGATGACGCGGCTCCTGCCGCTCCGATGGGAAAATCTCCCAGAGGGCTGGGCCGGTTGAAGGCCGCCACCTTGTCAACCGAGAAGCACATGGGGAAGCCGTTAGGCAGGCGCAGCCCTGCCCGGCTCGCCAGTCCAAGCAGCACAGGCGCCCTGCACTTCTCTGCAGCTGCTTGCTCTGGCTCGGGGTTGGGAGGGAGCTGGAGAGACCCAGAAGCCTCCCCATTTCCCTGAGGGACCCCCAGGCCCTACTTGACCCTGGGCAGCTCTTGGGAACAAAGGACCCCACAGGGGCTGCCATCTCCCCAAAGCGGGGCACGGCGGGTGCTCCCTTCCACGCGGGGGCTCTGGGAGAGCTGGCAGAATCTCATCTGCTCCTTCTAAGCCAGAGCAGGGCCAACCAAGCCAGGGATGGGTAAAGGTCTGAAGACGGTTCCCCAGGACTGGTCCCCTGAAAGTGAGAGCAAAACGAGGAAAGGGGCTGGCGCAAGACCCAGTCCCAGGAAAGTCCCCCAGCCAGATCCTCCTGGCAACTCTCAGGACTCCAGGCTTCGTTTCTGTTCTGCCCAAGGCCCATCAGCCCCTGCCTGCCCTGGGGCCGCCCCCTGCTCTCCTCCCCTCTGCTGGCCTGGCAGGAGAGGCCGTGGGAACCGTGACTCGGGAGCCTCTGAAAGGCTGCTGCAGGAAGGTGCCAGCCAAGTCCCGCTGCTCAGGGCCTGTCTGGGCTTTGGCATTGATTCAGGCTGAGCTGGCAAGGTTTGCCTGAGTGTGGGAACGGCCGCCCAGTGCTTCCTCCTCCCGGTGGGGGGGGGGGCGGGGTGCTCACCTGAGCGAGGGCACTGGCGCAGCAGCTGCTTCCAGTCTTCCTGCTCCTTTGGGCCATGCCTCCACGTCCCAGGATGGACTGGAAGCCTCCAAGCACAGCAGGGCAGGACGCGGCTGCTTCTGTGGGGCTGGGGTGGGGGAGGGGGGAGGGAGGGAGGGCCCCACGACAGAGTCTGCCCCACTGCTTCCTTGGGCTGCTCTGCAGAGGGGGAAAGGGCTGGGAATGAGCTATGGGCAGCACTGGGTTTTTTCCACCCAAGGGGGTGAAGGGCAGCCAAAGGGGTCTGCTGGTTGCAGCTGGCCTTCCCCGAGCCCAGGGAACCCATCACAGGGATGTGGGGGGAAGGGCTGCGGCACCAGGCAGTTTGGGCCTGGCTCCCCAGATCAGAGTTCAGCCGGGGAGCCCAGCGGCCTCTTCCCCTGCGCCCATTAGTCACACATTGCTGGGAGATGCCTCATGTGCTCAGACAACCCTACGCGCCCAGCCTTCCCGCCCTGCTGGCTGACGGCTGGGATTTTCCAATCTCAGCTCCGATTCCCCAAAAACAAGCTCCCCCCCCACCCCCACTCACCGAGAGCACTTGCTCTCCTCGCCTGCCCCACCCTGCCCCCTGCCCTGGCAAAAGGGCCTGAGCAAATAAACCGCCCAGAGGCATTTCCTTGGCCCTGTCCCTGCAGCCGGGGAGCAGCGTGAGTGTGTGGCACTTGGGGGGGAGGGGGGGCGTGAGAAGAATGTGCCCCGTTGCATAGCCCTTCCAGAAGCCCCCTTCCACACCTAGTGCACAGCTGGCATTCACAGGTAGGCTGCATCTGAGGTTGAAGGCCCCCTGAAACCTTGGCTGCCATCGCCAAAGAGGCCCTTCTTTGCTCGCCTGCCAGTTCTGCCCCTTCTGCCCCACCTCAGGCAAGCTGACCGGAGAGAGTGACCAGAGCGAGGGCTGCTCGGGCCCGTCCTCTCCCACCCGCCAGAAAGCGGGGAAGCGGACACAAGGACGCCCTTTAAAAAGCGTGAGAAAGGAAATACGATAGAGGCCCAGAAGCAACGTAACCGATCTAGCGGAAACAAAAGGCCCCGGAGAAGAAGGAGAAAAACCGGTTCCTCGCACACAAGGTGGAACAAGCCAGGAGCGGAGAAGGGAAGAGGCTGGCTGGCTGGACGCAAGTCTGTCAAAACCGCCAGGGAATCAGGATGCAACCAGGCCTTCCCGCCTGCTCTCAGCCCAGACGACTAACAGGCCCATCAGCCACAAGGTCAGCGTCCTGAGAAGCAGCAACCAACAAGAGCAGGGAGGCACCCAGGGCCAGGATTAGAGCACAGCAGCCACCTGGACACCACACAGGCTGGGGCGCCTCTGGGCCAAAGTGGACGGGCTGCTTGGGACGGGGGATTCTGGACTGCAGGATAAAGTGGCACCTCTTCCTGATCCTGAGGCCAACCTCCTTGTTGCCCCCCACCTCGCAACTTCCAAGCCATTCTTTGGTGGGCCTCTGGTTGGGGTGGGGGGAGACAGAGACAGAGAGAGGGGGAGGGAGGGAGAGGCTGCCGTGTCAGTAAAGAGGCCTCCCCCGTGTGGGAGCCAGCACCCAGGGCCAGGGCACCAGCCAAGAGGCCTGGGGAGGAGTTGAACAGGAGGCGAATGCGAGGTACTGCATCTGCCACCACCACCACCCCCCATGCACACACACCAGGCCCGAGTCCCAGACCCTCCTGGAAAGCCTACACCTCGAAGGGCAAAAGGCAGGAACAAGGCGGTGGGTTCCTGGAGGCTGCCCCCAATTCAAGAGCTTCCCGGCTCCCCCCACAAACAGCCAGCCTTTTCGCAGAAGGCAAAATCGCCGTGTCGAGGCAGAGCCATCCGAGGAGCTAAGCGTGGCTCACGCTGAGAAGGCCGACCCGCTGCACTGGCGAGGGCACAGCCCAGATGTTCCCAGCTGCTCTCGGCTGGGCTGTGCATGCTGCAGACCCTTTTTCCCAGGGAAGGCGGAGGGGACGTGGGCTCAGCCTTGGTGCTCCCTGCCTTCGGCTCCTCTCCCTTCCCCTGCACAGCCATGGCAACGCCCCATCTCCTCTGGCCTTTACGTGGGATATTCCTTATCCTGGGGGTACTGCCTGAGAAAACCTGCCTGGGGGTGCATCTGCCATTTTGCACCGAGGAGAGTCCAGATGGACGGCAAGAGGGGGAGCGCCCGGCCAACCATAGAGCCCAGCAGGGCCCTTCCGACCAGGGGGGGAAGTTGTAACCAGCTCCGCAGAGATCTGAAAGTTAGCAGCTGCTCGCTTCTTCAGGGCCCAATTCACAGCACTGCCAACTGCCCTGCTCCTCTGTGGTTCCGAGTCCAGAGAAGATCCAGGGGATCTCGGAGCTTTCCAGGGAGAACCAGATGGTCCATGGGGCAAGCAAAACCCCCACAGCCAGGGGGCTGCCTCCAAAGCAGGGAGAGAGCTTCAGCCTCTCCAGAGTGAGAAAGAGACAGAGCAAAGGAGACCCCTGCCTCCCCTCCCAAATTAATCCCTTTTAGTTAAACAGACACAGACGGAGGAGGACGAGGGCAAGCCAAGGATTTGGCCACCAACCCCGGGAAGAGGGCCAGGTGGCCCCAGGAGCTCAGAGGTTGCTGGGGCCGAGGGCAGGGGGCTTAGTGGTGGAGGACCCATGGGGAAAAAGGCAAAGAGGGAGAACCCCTTTGTGGGGCTGGGGGGAGGTTCCTTTATGCCTAGTGGCTCTTGCCCCGACCTAAAGGCCTACCACCCCCTCCCCACAGATGGGACTCCCCTGCAGGCTTGCCCCTCTGCCTGCCCCGCAAATGCTCTTCCCTTCCTCAACCCCATTCTGCCTGGCCTGGATCCCACCTCTGCCAGTCCCCTTCACTCCTCCGCTCCGTCTGCCTCATCTGCCCTGCCGGGCTTGGGAAGTTTGCACCCTTACTGTGAGGCAGGACCACAGTGCCAAGGGCAGCTGGCAGGGATGGGAGGGCACTGCTTGGCTGGCTCTCCAGCTGCTACTGTGGCTGCTGCCCGTGTTCCCTGCCTCTGGCCAGGCTCAGCCAAATGGGGACGCCCCATGCCCGCCTGCAGTGGGGGGGGGCTTCCCTGGCCAGGGAAGTGGGGGAGAGGAAGCGCTTGGGCCGGGCGGACATGCTTTTGAGCAGACGGGCCCCCTGGGAGCCGAGTGTGAGAACCTGTCGACTT